GTGCCATCAAATTAACTATAGCTTATAGCAACCCTATGGACAACAGATCAGAAACTTACCTTATTCTGCACCATCCTGATTTCTCATGTCCTCAAGCTTATTGTTACAACCTCTGTGTTAATCCCTCCTGTTAGGAGTATCCTCCTCTTTCTCTGACCCTCCACTTTTCCCAGCATGATAAACTTTTTTCCAAGGATTGACCCCTCCTGACAACATACCCAAAGTATGTGAGACAGTCTCACTCTTATTGCTGCTGAGGAACACTTGGGTTGCACTTCATCCAAGATGGAATTGCTTGTTCCTTTTGGCAGTCAGTAGGATATTCAGCACTCTTCTGCAGCATCACAATTCAAAGCTACTGATTGTTCTTCTGTCATCCTTATTCATTGCTCAGCTTTCAGATGCATAGGAAATCATTGAAAATACCATGGTTTGCTTCAGGTCTTAGTCTATAAACTGGCATCAAAAAGGTGGAGTTAGAAAACAAAAAAATGAAGAATACTTTTCGTATTTCTCAAGCTGAAAACAAATTCAAACCTCAAGTTGCAATTCTGTATTCTGTGGCTAAAAAGCATGCACAAGGGACAATGAAAATACCACCACTGGGCTCAAGCTCACCTTGGTTCATAGTGACTTCCTTGCTCTTTAGCCTTTTAAAGAGGTTTTTGCAGCAAATGTGCTCAAAGGCAATATAATGTTGGGCTTCTTGGCTGCTTCTTGCATAGGTGCTGATTGTGGATCTAAGGCAAACGAAATCCTTGACAACTTCAGTATTTGCTCTCTTCATTATATAATGTTTATTGGTCCAGTTGTGAAGATGTTGTTTTCTTTATGTTGAAGTGTAATTCACCCTGAAGGCTGTGCCTTTGATCTTCATCACTAAGTATTGCAAGTCTTCTTGGATTCAGAAAGTAAATTGTGTCGTCTGCTTATTGCAGGCTTTTGAATCCTTTGCCTATCCTGATTAGTAAGATGTAGAATTTTAAGTTTAAATCTGTGATTTTAAAACAGATTCACATTTTAGGTGTCCTGTATAGATATGCTTTTATTACATGTTTTTTGAAAACTAAAGTTTAATAATTAACATCACACAATATTCGTGAAAGATTAGATAAAATTTATGCAAATGTAAATGCAACAGTTTAATATATGTACATCAACAGTTTTATGGATATTGGTCACATGTACTTATCCATTTGCTTACTAATTTTCTTTCTTCTTTTTTTTTCTTTTTTTAAAAACAGTACAATCTTTTTGAACCTGAAATACAGTTTGACTTCCCCAAGGAGTCAGAATCTGTGACTTTCCAAACCCCTTTTGGGAAGTTTGGCGTTTTCACTTGCTTTGATATTTTTTCTCACGACCCTGCTGTGGTTGTGGTGGATGAGTATCACGTTGACAGCGTGCTCTTCCCCACTGCCTGGACCAACACGCTGCCTCTCCTCTCGGCCATTCCCTTCCATTCGGCGTGGACCAGAACCATGAGAGTCAATCTCCTTGCTGCAAACACCCACACCACCAGCATGCACATGACAGGTACCTCCCATCTCCCGTGTCACAAGTGGCAATGACCATCCGGGGATGTTTTCAGTGATTCCAAACCGTGCTTATAAAGAAAAAAAAAGGACTTTCAATATTTCTAGTATCACAATGCTAAAAGTTCATTCCATACCTATCTCTCTTTGAGATGCGAGATGCCTTCACAACTTCCAGCATAAAAGTGATGTCAGGAGATTACAATTGCAAGATAAACTGGGGGTGTCTGGAAGACAGTCTACCAGCTTGTGGGTGTGCCAGAATTTTTAAATCCTGAAATGCTTGGCCTTACCTTCAGGATGAAGGCTAGCTAGCATGTTGTGAGTAGTTTTTTGTTTGTTTGGGGTTTTTTTTTTGGCAAACATTTTTCTACGTGATATAGCACTGGTCTGTGCATTGCTGTACAGAGATAACTTGTGGTGGCTGTGATGCTAAACACTGTGACCCTGATGTACTAAATGCGATATTGGTCACCCAGGGTGGACAGTATTTGGCAGAGCTCCCTGATTAAAACAAGCTTGGAAGCAGGAGTGGCATCTACTTCCAAAATAGCTTGTCTCTGGAAACCCTATGAACTTGGAGAAACAAAAAAATTTCATAGGATCACTATGAGTTGTCTATGACTTGATGACATTTAACAACGACAACAACAACATTATCACGAACTTATTGAGGGCCTGGTGGATAGGGATTTGAACTGCCTACAAAAAGGCAGGTGGTTCGAATCCACTAGTTGTTTTGTGAGAAAGATGGGCAATCACCTCCCATGCAATTTACGATCTCTGAAAACCTGCTGGAGAGTCAGTTCTGAGTAGACAGCACAACAACAACAACAAAATCACAAAATAAATAGTAGCCTAAATTTTTATAGGAAACTCTGGTGGCTGGCTTAGAGGTAAGGAGATATGCTGCCAGCCCAAAAGGCATGTGGCTTGAAGGCGGCTCTGCAGGAGAAAGATGGATAATCTCCTCTTGTGAGATTTATGGTCCATGACGATCTGCTACAGGGTCATCTATGAGTCGGTTCTGACTCTATGGTACTAAATAAATAGCAACAACACATTTTTATACTGCTTTTCCTTAAAGCATGTTACCTCTGTGGCTGTAGGAGAAAAAAAAATATTACTTTGGGTTTATATGAGGAAAATTGGATTTAGGGAGAAGTCAAATCACACAAAACAAAGTCCGATTTAAGGAATCTCAAAGAAACAACTGTTCTATTCATAATGGTAGTGCCGCTGGGGAGTGATGTTTGTTGTGATTGTTGTTTAATGCTGTCGAGTCGTAGACGACTCATAGCGATCCTATGAATGAACAGCCTGAGCACTGTTTGTACATAGAGTTTCCGGAGGCAAGCCATTTCGGAAGTGGATGCCGCTCCTGCTTCCAGGCTTGATTTAGTCGGGAAGCTCCAGACAACACTGTCCACCATGGGTGCCCATTACCACGATTGGCACATCACTGTCACAGGCTTCAGCATCACAGCAACCCCGAGTTACCTCTGTACAGCAACACACAGACCAGTGCTATATCACCTAGAAGAATGTTTGACAGGAAGACAATTTGAACCTGGCTGAGGGCCACAGATGAAAATCGCCCACCTTCGGCTTGGTAGCACAGCTTCCTTCCACTTGGCCAACGTAGCTCTCTCTTGGTCATCGTCATTGTTATTGTGGTTTAATGTCGTCGAGTCGTAAACGACTTATAGCGACCCTATGAATGAACAGCCTGAGCACTGTTCGTACATAGAGTTTCCAGAGGCAAACCATTTTGGAAGTGGATGCCGCTCCTGCTTTCAGGCTTGATTTAGTCGGGAAGCTCCAGCCAACACTGCCAAGTGTGATAGCACTTGACATATATGAAATTGTTGCTCTTTCTTTTATAATAAACAAGATCAAGACAATGCAAATTGAAGTCTTGTCAGTCATTTGGCCAAATGAGGAAACACAAACACAAATAAAATATATCAGCAGAGATGTAAGGGATGTAGGGTATTTTCAGTTTGTTGTTAAATTGGAAAAACTAACAGATATCCTGAGTCGTAAATGTTGCTGTGTGCCATTGAATCAATTTCAATTCATAGGAACCTTACAGGACAGAGCAGACTGCCCCATAGGGTTCCTGAGGCTGCATGACCTTTATGGAAGCTGATTGCTACATCTTCTGTGGAGCAGCTGGTGGATTAGAACCCTTGACCTTCCAGTTAGTAGCCAAGAATTTAATCACTGCACCGTCAAGGTTCCCTTAAGTTGTAAATAAGCCATTCAGTTCAGTCAATGAATTCAGCATAAATATCTCAAGCAAGACGCTAAGAATCAAGTGGAAACTTAAACCACTGTCATTCCAAACTCCTTAAATGTCTATAACATTATACTTTAATCACTTTCTACTTAGTGTCTCATGGTAGTAATTCCATTAGTTTGGGATCATGGAATTTTGAAACTAATGATTGTCCTTCTTCATATTGACTACAGGGAGTGGAATCTATGCACCGGAAGCAGTCAAGGTGTACCACTATGACATGGAAACCGAGAGCGGCCAGCTGATGCTGGCAGAACTGAAGTCTCGGCCTTCCCAGGAGCTCACCTACCCAGAGGCTGTTGACTGGAGTGCTTATACCAACAGTGCCAAGCTGTTTTTGTCTGATCAGCCAACTTTTCCAGGAATGATTTATTTTGATGAGTTCACCTTCATTGAACTCAAGCAAAGCACGGGAAATTACACAGTTTGCCAGAAAGGCCTGTGTTGCCACTTAACTTACAAGATGTCAGAGAAGCGGCCAGATGAGGTGTATGCACTGGGTGCTTTTGATGGACTGCACACAGTAGAAGGCCAATATTACTTGCAGGTAGATGTACTTAAATAACTACATCTTAGAGCATTGTTGGAGCCTCTGAGTGATGTAAAAATCCCTGAAAAAAAAACTGTTGTTATGCGGTAATTCTGACTCATAGCAATCCTATAAGACAGAGAGAAAACTGCCTGATTAAGTTTTTAAGGGCAGTGGGGGTTGATGTGTTGAAATTAGAGAGACTGGCTCAGGACAGGGAAGGGTTCAGAGCTTCTGTACATAGGGTCGCTATACATCACAGGCAACTCAATGGCACATAACAACAATAGCACTATGACAGGTTTGGAAGCAGGAGTGGCATCCACTTCCTAAACAACATGCCTCCGGAAACACTATGAACTTTGATAAATGTCAATGGTAATAATTATGCGAATTGATGCCTTTGAGCTGTGGTGCTGGAGAAGAGTTGAATATACCATGGACTGCTAAGAAAACTTACAGCTTTGTTCTGGAGAGGGTTAAACTAGGCTGCTCTTTGGAGGCAAGGATCGTGAAGCTTCATCTGACATATTTTGAACATGTTGCAAGGAGGGACTAGTCCTTGGAGAGGGAAACAATGCTTGGGGGGATGGAGGAACAGTGTAGGAGAGGAAAACTCTTAATGAGATGGATTGATTCCGTGATTGGGGTAATGGGGGGGGTGGTATATCAGAGACAATAAGATTGGCACAGGATAGAGTAGGGTTTAGGGCTGTTGTACATAGGGTGCTATGAGTCACAGGCAACTTGATGGCATATAACAACAACAACAACAACAACAACATATTAATCTTTAAAATACTAGTGTTTCTCCTGGTTTTATTTTTAAAAATGTTAATCCTGTCCATATAAACTAATTTTAGAACTAATACATTGTGAACTTCACTTTGAAAAAATGGTGCTATTTGGCTGAGGAAAGTTCTACCTTTCTACTGTTTCAACATTTATTTTTTTAAATTGTGGTTTTAATGAAAATTTACAGAAAAATTGGATTTTCATTTATTCATTGTTGCACAATTTCCTCTCATTATGCCCACCCCTCCTTCAGTCCACTTTGCAAGGCACCTCATTCTGGACAGTTGAGATACAAATAATGGCTAGTCATGTATTCCTTTTAAACAGGTCTTTCTTTTATCTATTCCAATGCAATGATCATTACCTATCCCCTCTTTTCCTAGTTTTCCTCAAACCCCCATGTCAGTCCCATTTTAAACAGTGGTGTTAGGAATTATTTATTCCTTTCGTGATAGAGATATTTCACTCTGCGTAGTGTCCTCCAGGGTCACCTGTGTTGTGTAATGTTGTATTAGTTACTCGTTTTTCAGTGCTGCATAGTACTTCATTGTGTGAATATACCTTAGTTTTTCTGTGTATTCATTTGTTGATGGGCATTTGGTTTGCTTCCATCTCTTTATTACTCTGAATAACACAGTAATAAACATGGGTGTGTATATATCTGTTTGGGTGCCAGCTGTTTCTTTAGGGTATACTCTGAGTAATGGCATTGCTGGATCAAATGGTATTTCTATTTTCAACTTTTTGAGAAAGCGTCATACTGCCTTCTCTAGTGGTTGTCCCATTTTACACTCCTACCAGGAGTGAATAAGGGTTCTATTCTCTCCACAATCTCTCCAGCTTTTGTTGTTTGCTGCTCTGTTGAATTTTGCAATTATTACTGGAGTGAGATAATCTCTCTTAGTTGTTTATATTTGCATCTCTCTGATAGCCATTGGTGTGTCAAATGCCAAAGTGGCTGCCGATGGTGGACAGTGTTTGGTGGAGCACCCAGATTAAGACAGGTTTGGAAAGAGGAGTGGCATCTACTTCTTAAACAACATGTCTCTGGAAACTTTATGAACTTAGAGAAACAACAATAGCTATAGAAAATTCTTTTGTTCATAGGCTTGCTGTGAGTCGTGCTTGATTCAATGGTAACCAACAACAACAACACTAGTTGGTAGGTGGGGATTTTGAGCATTCCTTCATGTGTTTGTTTGCCATCCGAATGTTTTCTTTGCTGAAGTGTCTGTTCATATCCTGTGCCCATTTGGCAGCTGGTTGTTTATATTTTTTTTTACTGAGGTGTGCTCTAACATGTCTGACCACTTCTTTTTTCTTTTTCAACATAGATCTGCACACTACTGAAGTGTCAAACCACTGACCTAAATACGTGTGGGGAGCCTGTGGGGTCAGCATTTACCAAGTTTGAAGAATTCTCCCTCAGTGGCACATTTGGGACAAGTTATGTTTTCCCACAGGTTGTTCTAAGTGGGAGCCAACTTGCCCCTGAAACACATTATGAGGTAGGAGGTTTTCAGGATGATCAAACTTTTTTAACAAAAGAGATAACAGGCAAATTAAAATCTTTGTAATGCTGTTACAATATTGAACATTGGGATTCACATTCTACTATGAAAACAGTGATTTGCAATACTAATTATGGTTCCAGATTTTTGCTAGGCTGTGCTAGATAGTACAGAGCTCATTAGATAGTGTAAGACAGTGACAATCAATGTCCTCTTCACTTGCACAATGTGTTGCTGTTGTTGTTAGAGGCTATCAAGCTGAGTACGACTCTTAGTAACACTGTGAGCAACAGAGCTGGACCATGTCCCATCTTGTGCCATTCTCACAATTTCTGACAAACTCAAACCCATTGCTGCAGTCGCTGTGTCAATCCACCTAGTTTAGGTCTTCCACTCCCTCACCAACCCTCTACCTTTCCAAGCATGATGTCCCTCTCCAAGGAATAGCCTCTCCTAGCAACATGCCCAACTTAGAGGAGACGAAGCTTTATGAAGCACAATGTAGACAGTACACATTCAATACATTGAAAGATGCTTGGACAATTTATTTTGTGAGTGAGCTAGTTTGAGGAATTTTTGTTCTGTTAGTAATAATTTATATTTTGTGTGTTGTTTCATTAAAGAGTCCTTGTGGCACAGAGGCGAAGTGCTCCACTGTTATCCAAATATGCTTCTGTCATCTTCAATAAAGGTTCTCTCTTGTTGCCCTGATGTTGGAACAAACTCAGCTGACCCTCCATTGAATTTTCAAGGCTAAACAGCACAAAGGGATGTTGCCCATCTTTCTCTGTCAGAGTTACTGTTGGATTCAAACCAACAGAGAGGCAAAGTGCTAAAGTTAGCAGCTTAACTCCCTACGGACTAGGCCATCAAAGCTCCTGAAAAGTTGTAGTCTTGGGAATATTATTAGACAATTCTACCCTGTCTTAAAAAGGTCATTATGAGTTAAAATTGGCCTGTTAATGTGTATGCCTTGTGTGTGTGTGTGTGTGTGTGTGTGTGTGTGTGTGTATGCCTTTAAAACATTCTGTAGTGAGGGGTTTGAGTCCGTGGCTGGCCTGGAAGCTCCTGAATGAACAGTCGTTCCACTCTGGAAGCTGGTTTCTCGCATCTTGATGGGGGTCATGTAAGGAAGCTTTTGGGTTGTGTTTGATTTGCAATAACGATTTTTTTCCCTCCACAAGGGGATGTCAGTTGACCTTTGGCCCCTTTGGGCCAACAAGTACGTAAGGGTGGAGGCCTGCTCAAAGGTGTGTTTTTGAAACACTCCATAGTGAGGGGTTGAGTCCGCAGCTGGCATGGATTTAAAATAAATTTATTAATTTTAGAATGAACATTCTTTAAGTGGTACAGAGTTGTTTGTCTATTTGCTGTACTGAATAACTTGGAGTTGTTGTGATGCTGAAGACTGTGCCATAATCCTGTCAAGTAGCATAAAATAGTTACACATCATGGACCTTGTTTGGAGGAGCTTCCAGAATGATTAGGGTTTGGAAGCAAGAGTGGCCACCACTTCCTAAAACTGATGCCCCTGGAAACTCTATAATCTTACAGAAATGAAGTTAATTAGAGAACAGAGTTCAGGTCTTTTGCTCATAGGGTTGCTATGAGTCGTATCAACTTGATGACACTTAACCACTGCCAAGTGTGACTAGTGTTTTATTTGGAGGAACATTCTTCTACTTTGTGCATTATTCTGTGCCAATTTGCTGTACTGAGGTAATCTGGGTTTGCTGTATGCTGACCCTTGTGCCATTGGGGTGTCAAATGCCATAATGATTTCCCAAAGTGGACAGTATTTGGTGGAGCTCCCAGTTGTAAAACAAGTTTGGAAGCAGGAGTATCAGCCACTTCCTAAACCACGTGCCTATAGAAACTCTATGAACTTGGAGAAACAACAATAAGTTATGGTAAGACACTAGGTCTTGTTCATAGGGTTGCTATGAGTCATACTTGACTTGACGACCATCAACAACAACAATGGGTGATGAAATAATCTCTAAAGCAGGAGATTTGATTACAGGCTTTCATTAATTTAAAGAACTTCTTCCTACCATATCTTACTTGATTTTCACCATCTTATTTATGAAATAGGATGTTTACTGCTTTCCCACCTAAATTACTTCTACTAGTTTCCAAGGACTGCCTTAACAAAATACTACAAATGGGTAACTTAAAAGAATGGACATGTGTCCTTTCACGTCTAGGGATGTCAGAAGTCTGGCATCAAGTTGCTGGTCAGGAGATGTTCTCTGAAGACTCCAGAGGACTCTATCCCCCCCTTTCTCTTAGCTTCTGTGTCAGTGTCAATCCTTGGTGTTTTTTGGCTTGTGGATGCAACACTCCAATGTCTGTCTCGCCAACTGATGGCATTTCCCCTATATATCCTTCTCTCTGTGTCTTCTCTTCTTATAAGGATGCCAATCATAATGGATTACAGCCTACTCTAATGGTTTCATACTAACTTGATTATATTTGCAAAGACTCTATTTTCAGACTAAATCTAATCACAGGTACTAGGAAGTAGGACTTCAACATATCACACAATTACACCCAAAAAGTCTTCCAGGTAGTAGAACTGGAACATGAACCTATGTCCTCTGACACCAGATACACTGCAGATAAAAAGTCAATTGTTAGAACCCATTAGCAGCCCTATTGTAGAGATATGGGGCAATTTGCTTCTGTAAAGATCTATGGCATTGGAAACCCTGTGGGCAGTTCTACTTTGCCTAACAGGGTTGCTATGCACCAGAATCCCCTCAATGGTAGTGGGTTTTTTGGTATACAGCTTCTAGAGTGTTGTTGCCACACAAGTCCTCTGAGGTAGAAGCCAACCACTGGATTGGAGGTAACACTTTGCTTTCCTTGATTAGGTTTCGAGAGATGGTCGTCTGAGAAGCAGGAGTGGAGGCCCTTTGCCAGTCCTCGTTATGGCCCTGTACGGAAGAGTGTTTGAGAAGGACCCTCCTCGCTTAGGGCAGGGGCCTGGGAAGTTACAATGATCTCCTTCACCAATAACTTCCAGGATTAACCTGTTAAAGACTGAAAGAAAGAAAAGAATACAACATCTATTCAGAAAAGATGTCATAAACTTACTGAAGCAACTAAGCAAGCACAAGATTTAAAAAGACATAGATATGAGTGTTAAGTCTTACATTGTCACAATTGCAGCACAAACAATTGAAACGGCATTCCTCCTCAATATATGTCTCTGCTTAAGGTTGTATTTGTATAATAAAACAAACATTGACATGGATGGGACCCTTGAAAAGTAATTTCATGTCAATTGTTTTATTGTATGCAGTTGTGCTTTCCATAGTTGACATTTTTTTGTGTGGAAATTGGACACTTGTAATTGTTAATAAACTAGAAATAAATGACCTCCTTAATTCATACTTGTTTCCTACTGAAATTATACTTTATAAACATCTACACATTGTGGTTAATCTCCTTCTATACCTATGATTTATGAAGGCCTGTGCTATGCTGGAGGCTTCCTTAGAAGATCCAGTAGGGATCTGGAAAGACAAGGTAACTCTGGAGGTCATTATGCTGAGTGAAATATCTCAGTCACAAAAGGACAAATACTGCCTGGTGCCACTCTTGTAAAACAGGACTGACCTTGGGGTTGGGGAGAGACTGAGAAAGATGGGTTCAATAATGTATACTTCATTGAAATAGATGAGGGAGAAAACTGTTTAAAAGGGATATGTGATTAGGTATTTTTGTCATGACAGGAGTCTGAGAGAAGGCTACATGGTGGAGTGGACCTGAGGGAGGGTTTGTAAAACAATGAAAGAGTTTGTCTTTTATTTTTTCAAGAGGGTCATGTACTAGGGGGGAGGGTTAGGAGGGGAGAAAACTGCAACAACGAGTGAATGGAAATCCAAAGTCTCTGTAAATTTATACTGGAAATTAATAATACATTTTAAAAAAGTATGTTCACCTAGTACCTTAGAATATAACCTTACCTTATTTTGAAACAGAAAAAAAAAAGATTTAATGAGCATGATTGCATGAACCAAGGATAGTTTAAACACAATGTATTCTAACTTAATTATATAATAAAAGTCTATCCGTGACCTTTCCCCAATTACCCTTTGTCCATGAATCCTGGTTCTTGGATTCTTTTTCCTTGTTGGCTATTGATTAACCCCAAGAAAAGACACACGTGAACGCGGATGAGCTGGCTGGATGTGCGGGAACGGCTGAGGATCACTTTGAGTTTGAAGATATCTCTTTTCTCATATAAGGTATGAAGATTGTGTTACTAGATCTTACCCAGGTGTTGATTCCAATCTGATACAATTCAGTCCAGGGCCAGGGACCTGGAGACATTCTGGGCAGGCAAACATGCTCTTGTCACTTTTCTGGATTCTTTAAGGGTTCTGTTGGTCTGACCTGTACCTGAGCCCTGGGCTCCTCTATCTGCCTGAGATGCTGGTCCCTTTCCTCCTCATTACTGCAAGTTAGCTATTTTTAAGGCTTCTTTTCATTTTCCTCTCTCCTACATGGTTGTCTGGAGGTTGCGTCCTCCTATTCTTCACCCCAAGCACTTTTATATAAGCAGACACCAGCTGGTCTCTAAATTTGTGGACCAACAAGTCCATTGTTACTCACAGCAACTTTATTGGACAGAGTAGGGTTCCTAAGCTGTTATTTCACAGAAGTAGAGGGTCAACGCAGGAAACTGAGACCTAGCGTGAGATGGTTTCATATGGTTTTTAGAGAGAAAAAAAGTTGAGAGCAAGAGAGAGAAATAAAGAAGCTGGTCCCAAGAAATGAGCAGGCCTTTATTGTATGATCTTAGAGGGAGGCCAAATGACCCCAAGTGACCATGAAGGAGCAGAGAAGGTGAAAAATCGTGTCCGGGCAGTTAAAGGTGACTTCTTTTTTTTTTTTTTTTTCCTTTCTGACTGAGTTTTGTTTATTTATTTTCTTACGTGAAGAGATTTAATTTTTAGGCCAGTCCTATGGCGTTGGGGTGAGACAAATAGAGTGGCTCCTGTTATCCTAATTTCTTATTTTTTTTCCATTTTTAAAAAATTAAATGAAAGTTTACAGAGTCTTATGGTTTTTAGTCATTCATTGTTGCGCTTTTCTTCCTGCCCACCCTCTCCCCCCAAATTAACTCTTCTCCTTGAAAAGTAAAAGAAAAACTCTTTCATTATTATATAATCCCTCCCTCCAAGTCCACTCCACTGTGCAGCCTTCATTCTGGACTCCTGTCATGACAATAATACCCAATCATATATCCCTTTTAGACATTTCTTTCCCTCATCTGTTTCAATGCAATATACATCATTCATCCCCTCCTTCTCTGTCTTCCCTCAGGGTGGCCTCTTTTTTATAGGTGCTTTAGAGACAACTAGGGAAGATAGTATTTTTCTTGGAATTTGGGACTGTTTATTAGCTTGGGTTTGGGCTTTTATGATTAGTCCCAGAGCCTTTGTCCATTGGCTGGTCTGGTCTCTGATCCAGCTGCCTTAGATGTTAACAGGTTTCCCTGGGAGTGATCAGGCCCGGGGACAACTGCCAAATTCTAGGCACTCTCCCTTCATTCCAGTCCCTAAAGGAATATAATGGTTAGGGATGAAGTTATCTCTAGCTACTTCCTGCTGAATTGGGGTGAGCTTGGGGGGCTGGTGTTGCTTTCCTGTAAGGTCTAAAGGAGGAGCATCATTTTCTTGCTCTGGAGATGCTGGTCAGGTGGTGTATTAAAAACTTCTGAAAGAGATTTATTAAACAGGGAGCGAGAGATTAAAAAAAAGAAAAAGAAGAATGACAAAAGGGAGTTAGGATGGGGAGTAGCGAAGGGAGAGTTTCTGGTTGCCACTAGGTCCCTGATTGTCTATTTTAGGGTGTTAGTTTACAGAAACAGTCTTCTTTTAGAAACAGGCTAATAGATTAAGTATCTTGTTTTGTAATATAACTGCCATGAGAGAGTCAGTTTGGTCTTGGACTGCAATCAGCTGAATTACAATATCATCTAGTGACTTGGAGAGATTTTGAGAGATGCTGGAATTTACTACGGAGATGTCTATGCCTGCAGTGTTAGTAGGAGCTCTTGTTGTTATTCCCAGGTTGGACAATAAAGGGAGGAGTCTTATTATTATGGCTTGTTTGTATTTAAGGTGTTGCTTGAGAGGGATAAGTATTAGTTTGGAGTTGGTTTGGTCAGCAGGCAACAGTAGATACTGTGTTTTCAGGCGAAGAAGAGACTGCTTGTTGCTCTCAAGCGTCTTTAGAAGTCAACTTTGAAGAAAAGCTGAACCTGGTCTGTATTGACTTCCCGTTTGTATGGCCCAAAAGAAGTAGCTAAGTACTTTTTAGTTGGATGATTTAGAAAGAGATGGATGGATGAAGCCGTTTGTAACAGAACACAGTGCTAATTTTGATCTTGTGAGCAGTTTATATTAAATAATGGAAGAGAGAGATCTGGGCTGCTTCTGAGTAGAAGGCAGAATGGATTTGGAAGGTTTGGTAATGGTAGGGTGGGTAAAAGTTCCCAGTATAGGGTGGGTTAAAATGATGGAAGCTCTTTATAGGTTTTTTTTATTGGGAGTTGTGGAGTATGAGTTGCTTAGAAAGGGGGGAGGGATTTGGATAAAAACTTTGACTAGGAGGATTTTTCAAGGAAGAAAAGGTTGTTAAGATAGACATAGTTGGGAGAGGTTGTTTGTAGGTAAGTGGTCTTGGATGATAAGACTGATGATGGGGATTTGAGGAGGGGTGGAAACTTTGTTTTAATTATATTTGAAGAAGTTTTGAGAGTTAAATATCTATATGGTGGAATTAGAGGTTTTGTGGGGGTTATTATTTTAGCATATATTTTATGTGCACTTGGGTTAGGTTTAAATATATTATGGCGACTATAGGTCTGTGTAACTTTTGTAAGATTTTATATAAAGTTTATGACATGCTTTAGAAGATAACTTTTGTATGAGTTTGAAGAACAGATATTATATGCTGACAATTTAGATATTTGTTAAGGAAATGCTTTTTAATGTATAACAAGGTAATTAACAGAAGTATAATTTCATTAAACTGAGTTTGTTAGAACAATTTAGCTAAAATGCTTTTAATTTCTTTTCTTTTTTAATATTCTTAGCTAAAGACTATTAGGTTTTAAATTTTGATGAAATCAACCATTATTTTAAAACAAAACTATACTATTCTTTTTCTGAAAAAACCCTTTTATTATTTAAGTTTGATACTGAGAAAAAGACTTTGGGGTACTTGGGTTATTAGATGTAGAGATTTGGTAGTACTGGATGTAGGAGAATCACACTTTGATTGATAGGTCTTAAATTTTGGATTAATTTTTGTTTATTATTGGGCTTCTGGGCTGGTAAGCATGGAGATCTATAAGGAGATAGTATATTTATAATGGACTGCTATGCATTATTGAAAAATAATGAACTTGTAAAATACTGTACAACATGAGGGACTCAGAGGACATGCTACTGGGTGAAATATTCTCAGTTACAAAAGGACAAATACTGCCTAGTACTACTGTCAGAAAGCAGGTCTGACATGGGAGGTTGGGAGGAGAATAGTATGAGAATGGATAGGAAATGACCATTTCATTGGAACAGATAGAGGAAAGAACTGTTCAAAAGGAATGCATTATTAGATACTACCATAACAGTTCAGAATAAGAGACAAACAAAAAGGACTGGGGGAGGGGGAGGTATGTAATTGTGAAGCAATGAATGAATTTTTTTTAAATACTATTGGGAAAAAATACTATTGGAAATATTGGGGTGAAAAATAATTTTAGTATTTACTTTTTAAAACATTTATACTAGTTACAAAATTTGAATACATTGTTTTTCAGACCAGATTCTTCCAATTTCCCTAACCCCACTACCCATCAAATTGTCCACTGCAGCCTTCAGTATGGACTGAGGCTCAATGTCAAGAAGACAAAGATTCTCACAACTGGACCAATTGGTAGCATCAGGATGGATGGCAAAGAGATTGAGATTGTTCACAGTTT